CTCACTCCCACACACACTCACACCCAGAGCACAGCGCTCACTCCCACACACACACTCCCACCCAGAGCACAGCGCTCACTCCCACACACACCCTCACACCCAGAGCACAGCACTCACTCCCACACACACACACACTCACACCCAGAGCACAGCGCTCACTCCCACACACACTCCCACCCAGAGCACAGCGCTCACTCCCACACACACACACACTCACACCCAGAGCACAGCGCTCACTCCCACACACACACTCACACCCAGAGCACAGCGCTCAATGTGAGATACACACACCGGAGCCTGTATTTGGATTTGATGATGACAGTGATGTGTTTGAGCTGGACAGGGTGTCTGCTCCAGCTGCCTGTTCCTCTCTCTCCCTCTGTCCTGTGCCTCAGGTCCAGGTGAGTCCCCTGTGACTATGTCCGGCTGTGTCAGTGCAGACAGAGCTCTCATTCCACGACCAGCCAGCCCCCGACCGAGTCAACAGGCCAGAACAAGCTGCACAGCTCACCTCTCTCTCGGCTGCTTTCTGTCTTCTCTTCTTCTCCCTTTCTGGCTGGGTGTGCTGCTCTCTGTTCCCTCTGTCATGCGTCTCTCTCTCCCTCTGTCCCTGTCCCTGTGTCTGTCTGTCCTTGGCAGCGTGAGACCGAAGCTGTTTTGAGGGGAATGGAATGTCCCCCCCCAGTTCCAAATACAGACACCCCCACTCCTAAAATATCCTCCAGCCCAGTCAGCTGACATCCCCTTAGGTGGGACAGAGCCAGAAAGGCAATTAACCCTTGAGGCCCTGAAACAGACAGTTGTGCTTGTTCAGCTGTGTTTTTGTCCAGCTCTGACGGGGCAGCGCAGGACTGGACACGCCGCCCAGACGCACACGGCCTGCCCCCTGACCAGCACAAGAAGGAGGGTGCAGGATGCTGGCGTTCCCGAACTATTACTGGGCACTTTCAGAGGTGAGGAGACACCGTTCCTTTCCTCTAGGCTGAGGTTTTCCAGCGCTGGAGAGAGATCACATCAACTCCACAGCCATCTTCCCCCCCCTTGAGAAACACAGTAGCTCCCAGTCTCAGCACTCAGGGGAACCTGTTCAATCATGTAAAAACAGTGCAAAAGAAATTCACGCAGTGGACTTTGATTGGGGAGCAGGACGGTGCCACAGCACTGAGGCCCTGGGTTCGATTCTGGACGTCGGGTGTCTGTGTGGAGTTTGCATGTTCTCCTCATGTTCTCTATTCACATCGGTTTCCTCCCACAGTCCAGAGTCATGCTGGTGTGTGTGTGTCCTACGATGGACAGGGTGTCCCGGCTGGACCCTGCTTTGTGTGATTAAAGAATCAAAAGGCAAAACATACAATAGAAATATGTAAAAAGCATTATTTTCAGCTTTCATAATAATAATAATAATAATTGCTTACACTTATATAGCGCTTTTCTGGACACTCCACTCAAAGCGCTTTACAGGTAATGGGGATCCCCTCCACCACCACCAATGGTAAATGGTAAATAATGGTAAATTCCTCGGTCTGTGAAGTTTGCCTATTTCTGTATTTCTCATTTTTTGTATTTCTGCTGTTTAAATAAAAACTTAAAAATTAAAGCTAAACAGAATCTCTTCCTATTGGTTTTGATGACGTTTACAAGCCATTTCCGCTCCCAGGTATCCCACAATGCACCTTTCGTTCCTGAACACCATAGAATTACTGTTTACCCTGGAAATGTAACAAGCGTCAGTCATTTTGCTTCAGCCCCACTAGCCAAAGGATATTTGTAACAGTTACGTACTAAATAATTGTGAGGTATAAAAAAGCAATTTACGTTGTTGTTAATCGTTGTTTATCTCATCGTTAAAACTGGAAAGTTGGTGAGGTACTGAGTGACCGCAGTAAAATGGTGTAACAGTCAGCGCATTTAAGGTCATGTGATAAATAGAATTGGCCTATCTAGTACTTTCTGGGATAGTCATGCCCTCCCCCCACACGCCATGTCATCTGTGGGCATGGATGAAGCCATGCGGCAGTGAGGGCAACTCCGTTGCGTCGTCGGCAGGGCACAGCTAAGCACGTTCCGGGTGAGGGTGCCAGCAGTAAAGATGGCGGAGGACTTGCTGGAAACGGTGGACAGGCTGCAGTCCAGGCTGTCGGACAACCAGGAACCCAGAAAGGTAAAGACCTGGGCTACCGAAGAAGGCATGGGTGCTAGCGGGGACAGGGTAGGCGGACAGCATTGCATCGCCCTCTCAGCTGGACAGTGTAGCGTCGATTGTCTGTCTTTTTTCTAGATCACGTCACGGTTTATAGTAATAAAGCGACGGTCTGTGGAGCGCAGGTCGTGTCTGCGGTATCGGGCAGGACGGGTACTAGCTCTGCACGGCGCTCGGCTGCAGAGTCCGGCCGGCAGCACTCGCCGGAAATCTGGACACGGGATCGACCTGTCCGTCAGTGTCCGGCCGGGAGCGAGCGCTTGTCCGGGGGGGGGCGGTTGTGCTCGCTCTGCTCTCCAGCGCACTACCACGGTGACCCAATCCGTGCCGTAAACACAGACTCCACGCACAAGTCCCCGACCGTCTCCCCCTCCCCCCCGACGTGGGCAAACTGAGTGACAATAACAACATAATTTCCGTTTCGTCCATGACGTCACGAGGTGGTAGACGACGACAGCGCGCGCGGACGTACCTGATGCGTGCGCGAGCTGCGCGGCCTCCAGCTGCTGCACAACGCCAAGCACAAACAGGAGCAGTCCTGAGCCGGGTGCAGCGCAGTGCTTGCGCAGGCAGGCCTGATTTACCCACAGACCTACCACACGCAATCATGTAGAGGTTCTGTTTTTCGTCGGCTGCGATGGCAGAGAGGTTAAGGCGTTGGCCTCGAAATCCAACAGGGTCTAACCACGCAGGTTCGAACCCTGAGCCAGCAGCCATGTCATCCTGCAGCTCACAGCTGGCAGCCCATTGAAGCTCAGCAGGTGTGAGTATCTGGATGGGAGACCTCCTGGGAAAAACTAAGGCTGCTGCTGGAAGAGGTGTTAGTGGGGCCAGTAGGGGGTGCTCACCCTGCAGTCTGTGTGTGTCCTAATGCCCCAGTATAGTGACGGGGACACTGTACTGTAAACAGGCGCCGTCCTTCGGATGAGACGTAAAACTGAGGTCCTGACTCTCTGTGGTCATTAAAAATCCCAGGGCGTCTCTTGAGATGAGTAGGGGTGTAACCCCGGTGTCTTGGCCACATTTCCCATTGGCCCTTACCAATCATGGCCTCCTAATAATCCCCATCTCTGAACTGGCTTCATCAATCTATCAGTCAATCAATGAAGGTTTATTGATCGATGGACGAACAGTACAGCACAGAGCGGTGTTGTCGGCAGTGAAATGCTTTGTCCGCGAGCTCGTTAAGAGGGACAGGAGAGTAGAAGAACAGGAATTTATAGGGATTAGATTAACATTAGAATACAATAAATGACACAATTGCAATTTACAATACAATCACAGATTGTGCGAAAGTAGCACAGGGATAGGAGGTATTTAGCGCTCTTGGTATGTGTCCTGAGAGTGACAGGAGGGCCTGTTCGCCAGCGGCCGTTGGGGTAACTGCAGGCGTCTGCTGTGGTTGGCTGCTTAGGAGTCTTACTGCTGAAGAAGCTGTTCCGACACTTGGTGGTCTTGGTCCGGACACTTCGGTACCGGTGCCCAGATGGTAGCAGAGAGAGCAAGTTGTGGTGAGAGTGACTGGGGTCCCTGGGGACAGTCCTGGCCTTCTTGAGGCGTCTAACAGAGGAGTTACCCCGATGTTCCGTAGCGCAGTTGGTGGCGTTTGGCGCCGGTTTCACCCCCCTCTGGAGGACCCTGAGCTCTCGGGCGGAGCAGTTACCACACCAGGCAGGGGTGCAGCCGGGTAGGATGCTCTCAGTGGTGCAGCTGTAGAAGCTGGTCAGGATGTGAGACGGATTAACTTCTTTAATCTGCGGACAGAGAAAGCTGCCGTGCTGTCTTGGCTACGAGGTTGGTGTGGTGGGTCCAGGTTAGATCGTCTGTGATGTTGACACCTGGGAATATGAGACTGTTGACTCTCTCCACTGCGGACCTGCTGATGTGAATGGGTGTGTGGTCTGTTCCTCGGACAAAACTACCATCAGCTGCTTAGTTTTGCTGGTGTTGAGAGAAAGGTTGTCCTGACTTCATGCCTCCTCCCTGTACGCGGACTCATCACTGTTCGGGATCAAGCCGATGATCGTTGTAATAATAATAATAATAATATATTATTGCTTACACTAATATAGCGCTTTTCTGGACACTCCACTCAAAGCACTTTACAGGTAATGGGGATCCCCCCCACCACCACCAGCGTGCAGCCCCACCTGGATGATGCGACAACAGCCATAGTGCGCCAGAACGCTCACCACACACCAGCTCTCAGTGGGGAGGAGAGCAGAGTAATGAAGCCAGTTCAGAGATGGGGATTATTAGGAGGCCATGAGTGGTAAGGGCCAATGGGAAATTTGGCCAGGACACCGGGGTTACCCCCCTACTCTTTTCTAGAAACGCCCTGGGATTTTTAATGACCACAGAGAGTCAGGACCTCGGTTTTACATCTCATCTGAAGGACAGCACCTGTTTACAGTATAGTGTCCCGTCACTATACTGGGGCATTAGGACCCACACAGACCGCAGGGTGAGCACCCCCTGCTGGCCCCACTAACACCTCTTCCAGCAGCAACCTTAGTTTTTCCCAAGAGGTCTCCCATCCAGGTACTGACCAGGCTCACACCTGCTGAGCTTCAGAGGGCTGCCAGTTGTGAGCTGCAGGGTGATATGGCTGCTTGATATGGTTGTATCATCCGCGAACTTAATGATGGAGTCTGTTTTGTTCCTGGCGACGCAGTCGTGGGTGAAGAGGGAGTAGAGGTGAGGGCTGAATAAGCAGCCCTGGGGAAGGTTGCCGGTTCGAATCCCGCGGCCGGCAGAGGAATTCTACTCTGTTGAGCCCCTGAGCAAGGCCCTTAACCCCAACTGCTCCAGGGGCGCCGTATAAATGGCTGACCCTACGCTCTGACCCCCAGCTTCTCTCCCTGTCTGTGTGTCTCATGGAGAGCAAGCTGGGGTATGAGAAAAGACAGATTCCTCATACAAGAAATTAAAGTGATCTTTCTGATTTGGGTATGTGCGAACAGTGATCCTTGGGACAACATCTTCTGTACATTTGCTGATGTAGCCAGTAGCGTAGTCTGCGTACAGATTAATGTAGTTCCCTGCAGCTTCACAAAAAATCTGCCAGTCAGGGGTGGCAAAGCAGTGGCTTAGAACAGGGTCCGATTCCTCCGACCGGCGCTGGGTGGTCCCTGTCACAGGCTTCTCCTGCTGGAGTTTCTGCCTACAGGCAGGGAGTAGCAGGATGGAGGTGTGATCGGATTTGCCGAAAGGAGGTTGGGGGAGGGCTTTGTAGCCATCCTGGAGGGGAGTGTAAACACTGTCCAACGTGTTTGTTTTGCGCGTCGGGCAGTCGATGTGCTGATGCAGGTTAGGCTTGAGTTTCTTCTGATCCCCCGCTGTGACGGATGAGTCCTCGGGGTGAGTTCTCATGTCTGCCTAGGTGTTGGTGTAGCTCCTCCAGGGCTCTGCGGCGCAGTACACACCGCCGTGAGGACCAGTGTACACTGGTGTACATAGAAGGGGCGACATTTAATTGTCAGGTGTTCAGGATGTGGGGGCGTGACGATGAACTGGTCTGTGCACCAGGAGTTATTCCTCCACCCTGATCTTCCCCGAGTCCGTTGTCCTGTCCTGACGGAGCACGGAAAACCCTCTCGGATCGACAGCGGTGTCCAGAGGGGCTGCAGCCCGTGCAGCTTGTTGTCCAGGGATCGAACTTGCTCGGAAGCGCAGGGCGATTCCAGTGTTGTCTCAGTCTTACCAAGACCCCGACCCGCCTACCTCTCTTCCTGCACCGTTGCCCTCGGGAACAGGTGCGCTTGAAACTGTAGGCCAGGTAATCCATTGCCATATTGGGTGCAGACCTCGCTGAGCCGACAGTTGATCTTATGTCCATTAGCGTTTGTCGGTCATAGCTGATCATCGAGCAAGCATTGTGTACAGCTAACAGTGTAAAAGACAGCATAAAGAGAGGAAAAGACAAAAACGGACGGGAGACATCTTACACGCTGTCCTCTCTCGCTCTCCTCCCCACTGAGAGCTGGTGTGCGGGGAGCGGACTGGCGCATCATCCAGGTGGGGCTGCACACTGCTGGTGCTGGAGGGGATCCCCACGACCTGTAAGGAGCTTTGAGCGCTGTGTGCAGATAAGCGCTATATTAGTGTAAGGAATTTTCACTATGTGCTGAGTGTAAATAAAGACATTTATATGTGAAGCCTGGGCAGTGTCCCAGCCTCTGCTCTGAGTTAATCAAACCCCAGTTTTTATGAATCGATCAGTTATATCTGCGCTGGGCCCAGACCGGCCCGCCTGGGCCCGCTGGGTCTGGACCGGCCGCCTGGGCCCCCGCTGGGTCTGGACCGGCCCGCCTGGGCCCGCTGAGTCCTGATGTTGTTTGTTTTCTCTGTGTCTATGCAGCTGCTCAAGACTCTGAAGAGACTGGGAGAGCTCCCCATCACTGTGGACATCCTGGTGGTGAGAGACTCACTGCGGGCCGCACTCTTCCTCCCTTGTAGTGGACCGTACTCTTCCTCCCTCACCGTGGACAGTACTCTTCCTCCCTCACTGCAGACAGTACTCTTCCTCCCTCACTGTGGACAGTATTTTTCTTCCCTCACCGTGGACAGTACTCTTCCTCCCTCACTGCAGACAGTACTCTTCCTCCCTCACCGTGGACAGTACTCTTCCTCCCTCACTGCAGACAGTACTCTTCCTCCCTCACTGTGGACAGTATTTTTCTTCCCTCACCGTGGACAGTACTCTTCCTCCCTCACTGCAGACAGTACTCTTCCTCCCTCACTGTGGACCGTATTCTTCCTCTTACCTTCTCCCTCTCTGCCTGCAGGAGACAGGGGTGGGCAAGGCAGTGAACTCCCTGAGGAAGCATGAGCATGTGGGGGAGACGGCCAAGAGCCTGGTGGCCAAGTGGAAGAAGCTGGTGCCTCAGGCGGTGGACAGGTGCGTACTGGGAATGCTGGAGAACTGGGAGGGGGGAGCAGAGTGAATTGGGCTGGAGAGTGAGTCTGTAGTGGAGTCTGTTCTGACAGCTCAGCTCCAGGTGTGTCTGAGCTCCAGCCTCTCTCTCTGTGCAGCTGAGCTCCAGGTGTGTCTGAGCTCCAGCCTCTCTCTCTGTGCAGCGGAGCTCCAGGTGTGTCTGAGCTCCAG